TCTCAAAATGCGTAAATCAAATGCTGGAATTATCTAAAACAGGGTGATGCCTTTGGATTGGCACTCAACCGGACAATGAGAAGTTCTAAGAAATGAATAAAACGGCTTGCCAGAGCCTGTTTTATGGATTGAATGAATACGAATCGACTTTGAATAGCTTGAAGCGTCAAAATGATTACAATGTTTGAGGCTGAAAAACAAACGGATACATAAAAGATTAAAATTGCGAAGAACAAAGCTATAAAAGAAAATATGATTTCTGATTCTCGGATGATGATGGTGTCCTCTTCCCGGTGCCTCCTTCATTGCTTTTATACAGATTCCATCAACCCTAGCTAGGTTGCAACAGAAGTCAAATTCCGCAAGGATTTCTGTTGTAGCTGGAATCCTTCTTCGATATGGACTGCGGCGTCATTGACTCCTTTTCGACCCGGCTTCCTCACTCTTTGTTACATCCGTGAATTTTAACCAAGGCAGGCTTCAACCCGATTCTCCCTCCATTAAAGTGCTGCGATCGATCCATTCTCATGTTGACCAGATTAGTCAAAAATCTATCCAACACTGCTTCATCTGTTTGCATGTCAGTTTGATTCTCAGCCAAGCCATTAGATTCTTTAACAGCTTTTCCGCATAGGGGCACTCAAAAAATAGGTGTTTGGCATCTTCTTCCTGTTCAGTCTCACACAATACACAAGCCCTTTGATCAACCCAAATATTCATCGTTGCCATTCTTCTGACTGTCATCAATCTATTCTGTAGAGCTAACCACACAATAAAATTATGCTTGGGAAGGCAGATTCTGCTCCAAAGCTCTCTCGCTTCATGTAGTTTCATACCCTTGTGTCGCCAATGATTGTAACCATCCTTTATGCTATAATCATGCTGTTGGAGCTGCCACACTCCTGCATCTAATCCCTCCTTTAACTTGGACTTAAGACGCCAGCTACTATCCAAGGGTGGTTCATAATCCCACAACGTTCTTCTCTTTATGTAGTACTCATTAACCCATTTAATCCAAAGTACATTCTTATTAGATGAAATATCCCATACCTGTTTGGCAAGTGCTGCTTGGTTCCATAGCCCTGGTTCCCTTACATTGAGACCACCTTCTTTCTTTTGTCTGCACAGTGTGTCCCAGGCTACCAAAGCTGTACTATTTCCAGCTTCATTTCTACCTCAAAGAAATTCTCTACAGCACCTGGTGATTTGAGTCACAACTTGTTTTGGCAATAGGAAAGTGCTTCCCCAGTACACATGCATAGACAGCAGTACTGAGTTCACAAGTGGAGTCCTCCCAGCATATGAAAGGTGCTTGGTACTCCAACACCTAATTCTTTTTGTGATCCCGTCCACCAGCTGTTGACAATCATTACTGGTCCATTTTGTTGGTGAAACAAGCAGGCCTAGATAATGCATTGGGAAACTTCCAATCTCAAATCCCATTATTTGTTGCAGCTAGTCATCTACCTGATCATCAATGCCAGCACAAGAAAGGTTAGATTTTGCATGATTAATTTTCAGATCAGTAGCTTCACCAAATTGCTGCAAGACCTCCTTTATTCATCTAACAGCGCCTGGTTCTCCTTTACTCAGGATGATCAGATCATCTGCAAAACCTAAGTTCGTTATTTCCAGCTTACCACATTTCGGATGAAACTGATACTGCTTCTTCCTTACTTCCACTTTAAAAGCTCTAGTAAGATAGTCCATAACCATAACAAAAATCAGCAGGGAGACAGGATCTCCCTGTCTCAAACCTCGCCTTCCCTGAAAAAATCCTGAACTACAACCATTCAGATTCAACGAATAAGTACAACTCGTAATACAGGACATAATCCATCCTATAAACTTCTGAGGGAAACCGTACGCAACCAACATATCTTCAACAAAACCCCAGTTCACCGTATCATATGCCTTACAAATGTCAACCTTCACCATACAGCTAGGTTTGACATTTGTACGTTTATACAGCTGAATTAATTCTCGGGTTAACAAAATATTATGGACTATTTTCATGTCTTGTATAAATGCTCCTTGGTTCAGATCCACAATCCTAGGCAAAACCCTACTTAACCGTTTACACAAAACCTTCAAAATGCATTTATAAATCGTGTTACAACACAATATAGGTCTATAATCAACAACATTCCTAGGTATATCCACTTTAGGTATTAAAGATATAATGGTGCAATTCAACTGTTTTAGTAATTTTACAGTATGAAAATATTCTAAAATAGCATCAGTTACATCATTACCTATGATTGGCCAGGCATGCTTGTAGAAAGCGCTGCCAAATCCATCTTGTTGGAGTCAAGATCAAATAGATCTGCTTTAAATTGCATCCCTTGTTACATCCTGGATTAGGTCCACCTGCTGCTGGACTGACAATGTTGGACCGTCATAAAAAACCACCTAATTAGCAGGCTGTCTGTGATCTTCCTGGCCTAGCATATGTTCATAGTATTGAATAAAATGACATTCCACACTCTCCCATTCTGCTTCAATGTCTCCATCTTCTATTACAAAGGATATGATCTGATTCCGTTTCCTTCGAGCTTTTAATTTTGAATGAAAATACGCAGAGTTTTGGTCTCCTTCCCTGACCCATTGCTCCTTCAATTTTTGCCTCAAGAAACACAAAACCATTTTACTCTTTTCCACATACTGACACCTAGCCTCCCTTTCTTTTTGTTGTAGCATCAAATTCCCTCGCTGCTTTGCTAATTCTCTTTGTAATCCTGCCAGGACTTCCCCACATTCAAGTGCTTATTTTTCAACATTGGAGAAACATTCTCTGTTGAAGTTCTTCAACTGCATATTCAAACCTTGCTGCTTCCTTACAACTTGATACTGCTTACAACCTGGAACTTCAGTTGCCCAATGAGTTTGAATAATATCTTTTAATTGTGGATTGCCACACCACATATTAAAAAACTTAAAACTCTTCGGTTTGTTCCTCTGCTCCTGGTTGAATTGGATTAGCAGTGGCTTATGATCGGATAATCCGTCCTGCAGCACAGTTGCAAAACTATCCTCAAAACATTGTTACTAGTCTTCATTGATCATAGCCCTGTCCAACCGTGACATTATTCTTTTATTACCAAGTCCTATTACACCATGTAAAAGTATCTCCAACAGTCTTCAAATCATCTATTGGCATTGTTCCACTATGTACTTGAACAAATTTGTGTCAAAGCTACCATCCTTTGTACCCCCCACCTTCTCCTCCTTATGCAACACACAATTAAAGTCGCCTGCAACTAACCATTCTTTATTGCGGTTTCCAGCTACATTGAGAAGCAGTTGCCACAATTTTGCACAATCAGTCACTCCGGGATCTCCTAAAACCGTAGTTAGCCTAAACTCCCTCTGGTTTACTTTGGATCTGACATCACAATGAACCAACTGTTCCTCTGAGGCTATTATATTAACATCATATTTCTGTACATCCCAAACAATCAGAATCCTGCCTTTACTGAGCCCATTATGATTACTATAGTAGTGAAACGGCTTCCATTTATCCTCCATTAACTCTTTTACTCTATATCCACTTAATTTTGTCTCCAACAGGCCTGCTACTCCTACTTTATTCACAGAGAGGAAATGTTGCACCTCTCTGTGTTTCAGGCGGTTATTAAGCCCCCTTACATTCCATATTAACAAATTATGCATTGAGGCTAGGCCCCAGGATAGTATTTTGTGCAGTTCTTTCTTTCTAACCAATCCTTTCTTCCTTCTGCATTTCATTGTGGTTACCCTCTTCCTTATCATCTTCTTGTGGCATAAAACTGGCCTCCCCCTTTTCTTTCCTTGTTCCCTAGGATCACACTTTGATAACACCTTCTCTACTCTGATTTCTTTTGTCCCTTTCGCTTCTACCAGAGGAGAACTATTAGTTACTCTTTGTTGCCAGACTTGCTTTACAACATGCATCTTCTTTGGTTGATTCATTATGCCCTTCGTGCCCTATTCCAGAACACTTACTACATTTAATTGGTAACCAGTCATATTCCACAGCTTGGCTGACCACATTTCCATACTCATTTTCAAAATAGTATCTACTTAGGCATCTCTTCTCTGATTTCCATGTCAACCAGGACCCTAGCATAGGCAATCCTATTTTTCAATGCAGTATTTTCATCCATTCTCATGGGAATACCAATGGTACTAGTAATTTTCCCCAACGTTGCTGCACTCCAGTACCATAAATGCAAACTTGGTAGCTTCACCCAAACGGGTACTTGAGTAAGCTCCTCCTACTGGATACCATCCTTAATATTCCAGTTTCTAACAATAAAAGGTTTCTGATCAAAATGATACACATGATGCCTCAGCATCTCCTCCTTATCCCACTTATCCCTAAACCGAACCACAAACATACCGATTTCAAGCAATAGTTTCTTCTCCATACCAAGGTAGCCCCAAGTTATTCGAATAAATCCACTGATCAGAGGATACGGTGGATGAGCACCAACTACATGACACAAAACTGAGGTACTACAATACTCTATTTCAGACTGCACATCAATTGGAAGTATTTTTGCCACACGCCTGTTCTCAATTAATTGTGGTTCTTCATATTTCAGCAGATACTCATCCTTAAACAGACTATTCCAGCTTTTAGATTTTAGGTCACCATCAATTTTCTCACACTTAATCGCATCAGCCTGCTTTAATTCACTTTCTTTCCCCAGATTACCAATCTTTTGGTGACAGAGCACCTCAAGAGCTTGATCATGTAAAGATCTAGGAGAGAGCTTACTCGTATCGTCCTTAGATCGAGATGATGATGCCACCACCATTGGGGTTCTCGCCGGCGAAATCCCTTCCGTACAAGTCCTCCTCTCGCCCTCCGGTTGCACCACCTCAACCGCGATCGTATTCTCCTTCTTCTTTCTCTGCTGTCTCCGCATGGCGAGTGCACTTTAGCGTTGTGCCCTGAGAGCATTGAAAGAAGAGAGAGAAAGGAAGGGAGGTATTCCTCGAGTTATCTATTTTACCTGAGGCTATTTGTGTGACATAGTAGCCTTCCATGAAGGTTATGAGATTCACACATCTCATATAACATGTCAGTGCTTGAAGGATGGGGAAGTTTCCTTGTGGTTAGAGCAGCAATAAGGAAATGAGAAATGGAAACTAAGGGGCTCCCCTCTGGCTTCCTGTACCGATAAAATGGCTTGCCAAAACAGAACACTAACACAGAAACACCCATCATGACAGTTAGAATTGAAGTTGCAACTCCCTAGCCTAGATGTTCTTGCACAGAAACAATCAATGTCATACCAAGTAAGACCCCGTTACAAACGTCGAAAGCCCACCAGTTGAAAAATAATATTCTCTGCATTCACTACTACAAAAAAGGTCTTGCACTACACAAGACTCCAACCTCTTAGTGACACTTAATTGAAAATGCCCCTATAAGTCCTCTTAGTGCATATCCATTTTTTTACCTTTAAAGAAAATAATAAAGAAAAAAAATAAACACTCCAAAAACTTATCTTTATTATTTTTATCTATTTTAATTTTTACTCAATAGTTTTTTTTCTCCTATCACTCTATTGGAGGGCTTTCCTCAATTTGTAAATACCAAATTCAAGTTTAAGGTAATCACATTTGCTTGCCATCCAGTCTTTGATACAGAAACATTCCTGCATCTAAAAGGCAAACTTGCTTTGGGGATTATTGTTCCATTTTCACCATACTTTTTTTCACACAGATTTGGTACAAATCAAAAGGGTTCTGTTATTTTGGGCTGCAATGATTTCACTTTGTTTGTTTTAGCAGATGGTTCAGATCTTTCGGACTGTTTTCACGAAGGGGGAAAAAGGCTACTCTTAATCTCTCTTTCGGACTAATCTTTATGTTCTATGAGTAGTTTGTATTTTTTACTCCTTGAATTGCTATTATTTGTTGATCTAATTGGTGATAGAGTTGTTGCTAGGAACCACTTTCTTTTTCCCAATTAAATTGAATTGTGGATTGATGTTTTGCTTCTTTTTATATGAAGTGTGGTTTAGGTTTCTTGCACCCAAGGTGTTTGTTATAATTATTCTATTTACTTTCCATTGCATTAAACTGCAAGTTATAATTTTTTTTCTTTTTCTTTGAGTTGGAGTACGTCATGTCCGATCTAGATGACAAAAGAAAATCCAGATTAGGTAGTAATAGAATTGAGGGCATCGAAGGAGATCGTTCTACGTTATGAATCCCTCTATGAACACACTGCCTATCACGAAGGTGAAGCCTTAGACTCTTTGAAGGTGTGCTTTTTATTCATCTAATCTTTGCAAGTAAATGAATGTTTTCTTTGCTTCTTAATCTTTAGGTTCCCTAGCTTTGATTTGGAGTAAGAGCATCCCTTGTGTTCCTTTATTCTTGAAGATATTGATCTTGTTCCAAAACTTTTTGCAGGCTTGCAACCTTTATCCTTAGAGGAAGTAAAGAGGGCTTAATGACATACCAAACTCTCTGCTTGCTTTGACTTAGGGAAAGTTCATGAGACAAGGAAAAACAAGGGAAGAGGAAGATTTTCATTTTGGCTCTTAGTTATGGCTGGCGATGCGATGGACAAATAGCCGGCTTCACCTCTTAAAAAGATGTATTCTCTATTAGTTCGTAGGCAGTTTAGATGATAGAATAGATGTTATGTGTTCACAGTACTGCTTTTCTATTGCTTAGTACGGCAATATACATGTTTGGCCGTAAATTTTTTGACTTTATTAATGGAAAATATATTTTTCGCTGAAATTGTTTTTCTTTTCCTAAAATAATTTATAAATGGCACCAATTAAAATTAGGCCGTAAAAGTAAATAAAAATGTCATGATATCTAATTTGTTAAGGCACTTTAAATGCATCCATGTTCATGTCTTGGGGCATTTGAAGTGCCATTATAAAGTATGTATTATTACGCTTTAAATGTCTTAAAAGAGTACATAATACTACACTATACCTATTATTATAATGAATTTAGAGACTCTCTTACAAAGTGTCTCTAAAGCTATAAATGCATTAATAGATAACTTACTATGGCATTTTCAAATGTCATAACAAAACCTTTTTCTAGTAGTGATTCTTTCCTTTGAATGATTCTCATCAAACTGATCTGCTCCAAAATCTTGCAAATTTGGCAGGTATCCTCCAGTTCCCAGGGCTAGAAAGTACAAGCCAATGAAGAATATGATTTCATGAACTTTAGGGTCACGGTTGCAGTGATTCTCAACATGATTGCAAGGCTTTAGGATAGGAATGAACTGCAATATTGTAAGAAGGCTCAATCCCTGATGATAATTAACCAAAAGTCAAAAATCTTATCTCACCTAGAATTCGAAATTACTAAGATTAGACAAACCATAGTACCATGCCAAAATTGGGTGGAAAACAATACACACGTTACTATTATATGTATGATTGAAGATAGAAAGATCACAAGGAATCGGCCAAAGTAGGCATCGGCAAGGAAAGCAGCAAACAAAGGAAAAACGGTTGCAAACAAAGGCAAAATAGTTAACATTCTTCGCGGCGGTTTTGATATCCTGATGTAACACTTTGGTGAAGTAGATGATAAGGTTCATGGCTGTTCCGAAGTATGTCACTCTTTCACTTAACTCCATTACTTTCCAATTTCACGTGTCATGCATGAATAATGTATGAAAGAGTTTTGAAATTAGTCGTCAAATCGAAAGTCCATCCGTCTGTTTTAGTTCAACAAATGTGTTATTAAAATGGGAGGGAGGGAGGGTAATATAACTTGTAGATGTGATAATTAAACATGCTACAAGAAGTCCCTACCAATGATAAAGTTGGAAGCTCTCCATGCACCGGTCGAAGCTCTAGCTGGAGTATTTCCTTTGTAATCTACAGATGAATCATGCATCCACTTGGATTCTCGATCATTGTTGTGTTTCATTTTATCGTTATCTATGATCTTTTTTTGTTTTTCGGGCCATATTCCTGGTTAGAATGCAATTGGAGGTCTTCTGAATATAATTGCCTATTTATATAGTCCTGAAACTTCTTAGCTTTGGGAAAAAAAGACTTCTTTGTAATGGTTGTAGTAATTATATAAACCCTCTTTCTTCTTGGCTTTTGGAGAGAATAAAGAAGACAAGAATTGAATGGATTTTTAGCTTTTATTTTGTTTACATGGTTGAATATATTCCTCTAGTTTTAAATTTCAAGGAAACCAATTTCAGTGTTGGTCGTCCAACGAAATCCAATCATTTGTGTTGATCTTACCATGTCAATAGATTTATACTCTTTCCGTCCCAAAATCAGAGCCATATTCATTAAACTGACTCTTATTTTTGGAACATGGGGGGAGATTATTAAATGTCAATTGTCAAAGTTGTGAACTCAATGTAAAAACTACAATGGTGACTTTCAGTAGCTCATCATGTTTCACCAGTGCTGAGAATTATTCCATTGCCCATTTAATAGTCATAAGAAGTCTCTAATCCACCACCATAATAAGAAGAAATATCGCACTTTAAAGATACTATTAAAGATGACACAATTTCTTTATTGGCGCCCAGACAGAATTAAATAATTGTAAAGCCCTCAAAAACAATATTTTCAATCCAATTTAGATATGATGCTCTCGGAATTCTGGAACATCATCAAAAGTAATAAGTATAATAGCATTGGGGATAAATTTTTGGTCATATTTGGATCTGATTCTCCAAGGAACACGAACGCTTTTGCCTATTGTTATTTATGGAAACCATTGAAAGATGTTTCTGGTACCAGAACTACAAAAACTATTTTCACAATGAGACATGAAATGAAATCTAAAATACTAGAACAGTGCAGTAGGTAGAATCCAGACCCAAATATCATTAACTTGCTTCTCAACCATGCTCTACTTGATCCAGAAGGATTAAATATTACAGATTAAAACATATTACACATTAAACTAAAGAGTTACAACGCCATTTGACATGTGTATATCAATGAAGAGAAGAGGCTTATTGCAAAGAATATAGGGAAAAAGAAAAAAATATCCATATAATGTGTGAGGAAAATTCAGTCTTAGCATGTGCTTTGTTGTGTCCCCTATTTGTGAAACTGCACACAGTGAGCAGTCATGGTTAGCCAACAGTAGAAAGAAACTGCCAATTTTCCAGTTCACAAACTGGAGCCATCTTTCGGTTCAAAAACATTCAGTATCACCTTGTAAGCTGAAACTTAACAGCTCAACCAAGTGGTTATATCATGAAAGTCCTTCACTGTTTCGGTATACAACCCTGCACCAAATACTATTTCACTAATTTCAACACGTCTCCCACAAGATGTAATGAGCCGGTAACCAAAACCTAATGAGGAAAGTATATAAGCAACCTGTAAGTATTGAATGGAAAAGGAAAAGTTTAATAATACACAATAAGCTCTCGGCGGGAAGTAACAATCACCTAAAGACGCAGAGAATGGTTTTTTCTAACACATTCCCTCAGCCAACTACTTGCGTGTGGAATTGAAGGAAACACAGAGCTGCGCTCAGAAAGTTGAACACTCTTTTTATCAACATCATCTTCAAAACTTGTATCTGTGCTCTTCACTTCTCTCCCTATGCAAAAAAAAAATCAGACACCATTGCCCAAGGCTAGTCAATACCTTAAAGCTAGTTGGAACAATACCTTTTTCACCATGATTGAGGTTTTCCCATAGTTTTTGTAAATTTAATTGCCATTAAATATCAACGTTAGCATCAGTTGGTGGTAAAGAACTTGTCCCGACCTTGTAATATACCGATGTATTAGGGACAAAGAGTACCTTGTCAAAGTGAACTCTTGAAAAGATTAGAGGTAAGATGCATAAATGGGAACAAGGATGTTGTAACTGATAATCAATTTTAACCTTACAACCCAGGACCTCAAACTCAACAGCAATAAATACCAGCCACGAAGAAAATCAATAAGTTAAGAACTATATACTACACAATATAGTGCACAAAATCATCATGGTGATTTATATACTTAACCAATCTGAAGTACTTACCATGACTAGTGCAGGCATGTGCTAGACGTTGGAGAAGCAATTGGGGATCCTAACTGACATACAATTGAACAATAGAATCTGCATGATTTCATGCAACAAGCGCATTAATATAAAGAAATGGTAAAAGATATTAAAAATATCAGCCATTGGCTAAAGTTAATGCATTGCGCATTTAGCCATAGTTTGAAATTCTTGCAATTCGAGCAATCATGTTGTAAGCTGACACTGCAAAGAAATTTATTAAAAAAAGTAGTAATGCACCCATCCCTCCAAATTCCATTCTATAGACACCAGAATCCAAAATGAGTAATTTTGTCACTGTATGGGCTACAGGAGATCACAACACTATTACCTGCATTGAATTGTTTCTAGAACCATTCTGATAGCAATTCTGAACATGATGTGAGACAGTTGACTTTTTGTAAGCACTCCATTCTTTGGTTCATGATCTTCCTTAATGGCAGTAGAAAACCATTTGGCGCACACATCCATGCTCTCGGGGCTGTGAGCACCATCAAGGTAGAACAATAGATCCCCTGAACTTCCACTCTCAGCTACATGGTCCGGGACTATTTGAGCACGTCCTTGCATTGAAGCAGTTGTCAATCCTCTGAGAATTTGTTCGGGCAAAGAGGTCTGTTTCTACAAAAGAAAAAATTTTAAGATTATTTAATTGCACACACATAACCAGTCTACATCAACTAACTCTCACGTTTGAGTTACTCACAACATCTTTAGGTAATCCACTACAGCATTGCCCGTCTTCTCAAGCCATGTAGAGCACAATGCAACAACATTTACATATTGGTTCTCTCCTTCAAGTCCCAGATTTGAACCATTTAGCAAGTTAGGATCTAAAGTTGTCGTAACTTGAAGAGGTACCTGTCAACATGAGTTTAAATCCTTTCGACTTAGCTATCATATAGATATTGGGCAAATACGACTGTCAAACACACTTTCCTTGAGAAAGGTCTCGAGCACCAAAAGTTGTTACGCCACCATAAGCTTATGCAATGTTTCTCAGGAAAATCTATCCAATTGCCAAGTTATGAACATGAGATTAATTTATTTAATTTTCCAGTCATTAAGATGCAAATAGGCCATTGGTTTTCTACAAATGCTATAGGCATTTTTCACGTAAAATGATCCCAGGCAACATAATTTCCAATGTGATCAACCATTGTAATTTCTGAATAAAGTGTACTCACATCCAACTCAGAGGCCCAGCCTTCAAGTACACGCATGGCTTCATCTGGCTACGGAACTGTAAAAGCAGGCACTCTACGCTAAATAAATATAAAAGAAAACCACATCAGTAGTAGAACATGCTTGAAAGAAATTATAACTGAAGTCTTGATACAAAAATGAGGAAATGAAACTTGAACAACACCTTGAATATCCCAGCCTTCTCCCCAGCAATTTGCCCAAGAGTAATACCTCCTCAAAATGTGGTTATCAATATTTAAGCAGCATCGTAATTGGAACAGATGTGACGCCAAAATAAATGTATGCTCCACAGGGAATGAGGTTTCCATCATTCCCAAGACTGAAGAAACAAAAAACATTCAGTTACCTAGATATCAAGAAAAGAATGTACTAACCAAGAACTTCAATGTGATCATATCCAAGTGAAGTTGTACCACAAATCACATGTGATTCAATCTATTCAAAAAGAAATTATAAAAAAAAAGGTGTAAGAAATTAAGAGCATAGGTATTAGAATGACCATAAAGAAACTCACCTCGGGTAAATCACACTAGAATCAGGAATTGCTAAAGATGCTAGATCCCAACAGATGGATTACATGCATACCACATTGGTCGATACAAATCTTGAGGCAAAGGTAGCAGATTTACCTCGATGCAAAAGCTATAAATATCCCAGGACTTGAAAACTTGCAAATCCAATATTATGGACTCCAAAACTCACTAAAAATAAAAGAAAAGAAGAGATGCAAACCACAAAAATTTGCACCAAAATGGGATGGAAAGGTTTAGAAGATGTAGAAAGTGTTTAAGGCTAGAAACCCAATGTCACCTCTCTAACAACCCTATCTCTTCGATTTATGGATAGGACGGCTAGCGAAAATGCTCCAATGAACAACTAAAAAAGCTTCACAAGTTGAAAAACACCTATTCTACTCGCATGCATCAACAAAGCACAAGTTTGTGTGCAATGCACTAATTTTCGAAAAGAATGGAAAAAGAACAAAGAGTTTCCTCTTGTCTCATATTGAAATATCAAATTCATCAAAAGTAAAAATGAAATGTTGGCCAAGCACCCCTATTTAGAGTAGAGTGGGGGGGGGAATTCTTCTATAAAGTAGGAGAAGACTTTGATCTCTAACTCTATTCATACTTTAAAGAACTAGAAATCAACTTAACCTCTAATTGACAACTTGTATCTTGTCTAAGAAGGCAATGTATCTAGACATCTTTATAGACTTAAGAAACACTAGTCTAATGAAAATAAAACTCCAAATACAAAGAGATATTATCTCAAAAGAATCTTATCCTGATCTTGAAAACAATCTTCCTTAGTTGTCAACTCTATCAATATCTTCTTTGTAGAGTAATCATAGTCATCCAATCTTGATCGAATCTTCATCCAACGATAGAGAGTAGACACCAATGAATAGACTTCTTATTTTGAATAAACTCTAAATTAGATAAAAGAGAATCATATGAAATCTTATCCTTCCATGTGATAAGATTTAAATGATCTTATCTCCAAAAGATAGGGAATCTTCCAAATCTTATCCTTCCACAAGTGTGATAAGATTTAAATGATTTTATCCCTAAAAGATAGAGATTCCAACTCCTAAAAATTAGGAGATAGAGCCGGCCTCTCTTGCTTGGTTTGTGGGCCGAAATTTCCTTCCTCAAATGGGCCTTGTAACACATTAATAATCTTGGGGTTGTAACTTCCAGACTTGACATTCTCTTGGGCTAAACCATTTAATATAAGATTATTAAGTGCACTCTTCATCCTTTTACTTCTAGCTCGAGTCGTTGGGCCTCCAATGTTGGATAATGGATCTTGAACCACTCCTTGAGCTTGGACAGTACTTGGAACCCGAACACCTTGATCATCTTGGACTAGATTATCATGGATGTTCACATCACTCCCTCCTTCCTCGAAAGGATTCAACCACGAATCCAAAGCTTGTACAGCTTCAGCATCTGAGAAATCAAACAGAGATAAATCAGAACATTAAAAGTTGCATTAACATTATACTCACCAGGAAGGTCAAGTTGATAAGCATTGTTGTTCAAACGCTTGAGAACTTGGAAAGGACCAGCTCCACGAGGATCTAACTTCGATTTAACCTTTGTAGGAAATCGAATCTTCCTTAAATGAACCCAAACCCAATCACCAGGTTCGAATATCATTTCCTTACGCCCCTTGTTGGCAATCCGCGCAACATGCTCGTTTCTCTTCAAAATATTCATGTATACTTTCTCATGAAGAGAACGTACATACTCAGCTTTTTTGGCTCCATCTGCATTAAGATACTCAGAAACAGGCAATGGAGACAAGTCTAAAGGGGTTAAGGGGTTATATACATAAGCAATTTCAAACGGAGAATGTTGGATAGTAGAATGTACAACACGATTATATGCGAATTCAGCAATGGGCAAACATGCTTCCCAATTCTTACGATTTCTTTGGATCAAAACACGAAGCAAAGAACCAAGAGTCCGATTAACCACCTCCGTCTGGCCATCTGTTTGAGGATGAACAGTTGTTGAAAACAACAGTTTTGTACCTAGTTTTCCCCCACAAAGTTTTCCAAAAGTAGCTCAAAAATCTAACATCTCTGTCAGACACGATAGTTCTAGGTAAACCATGCAATCTAACAATTTCACGCATAAATAAATCAGCTACATGCTTGGCATCATCAAATTTACGACAAGGAATAAAATGTGCCATCTTAGAAAACCTATCAACTACCACAAAAACTGAATCACACCCTTTTTGAGATTTAGGTAATCCGAAAACAAAGTCCATTGAAATATCAGTCCAAGGGTTGGTAGGTACAGGTAAAGGCGTATATAACCTATGTGGTTGTGACTTACACTTTGCTTGTTTGCACTCAGTACAAGTAGAACAAACTTTTTCTACGTCACGTTTGATATTAGGCCAATAAAAATACTCACATAAAACATCATAAGTTTTCAAAATACCAAAATGACCCATAAGACCACCACTATGAGATTCACGCACTAATAGTTCACGCAGAGAACAAGCAGGCACACATAATTTATTATCTTTAAATAAGATACCCTCATGCCTATAAAACTTGTTAAATGCGCAACTTTCACATGATTCAAAAATGGATGAAAAATCAGAATCAGTATCATACAAATCCTTGATATATTCAATCCCTAATAACTTAGAATCAAGCACAAAAAGGACATACGATTTTCGAGACAATGCATCAGCTACAATTCTCTTTTCCCTTCTTGTACTTAATGACATAAGGAAAAGATTCAAGAAATGCACTCTATTTAGCATGTCTCTTATTCAGTTTGTTTTGTCCATGCAAATATTTCAAAGACTCGTGATCACTATGGATGACAAACTCTTTTGGCATTAAATAGTGGTGCCAATTTTCTAAAGCCCTAATTACAGCATACAATTCTTTATCATAAGTAGGATAATTCAATGTTGCACCACTTAATTTTTCCGAAAAGTACGCAATAGGCTTACCACTTTGCATTAACACAGCACCAATTCCAACCCCAGATGCATCACACTCAATTTCAAAAGTAAGAACAAAATTAGGTAATGCAAGAACAGGAGAACAAGTTAAATCATTCTTTAAAGTGTTAACTGCAAGTTCTTGTTCTTCACCCCATTCAAACCTAACATTCTTCTTTACTAAGTGATTTAAGGGTGCAGCCTTAGTAGAGGAATCCTTCACAAACCTACAATAAAAATTAGCTAAACCGTGGAAGGAACGAATGTCAGAGACAGACTTATGTGTAGGCCATTCTCGAATTGCCTTAACCTTAGCCTCATCAACTTTAACACCATCCTTGCTAACAACAAAACCAAGAAAAATAACTTCTGGTACACAGAAAGTACACTTAGCAAGTTTAGCATAAAGTTTATTTTCACGTAAAGCAGAGAGCACACTCGAAAGATGTTTAGCATGCGAAAGTTCATCTCTACTATACACTAAAATATCGTCAAAATAAACCACAACAAATTTACCTATATAAGGTCTAAGCACATGGTTCATAAGACGCATAAAAGTAGGAGCATTAGTCAAACCAAAAGGCATAACCATCCACTCATATAAACCAAATTTAGTTTTAAAAGCGGTTTTCTATTCATGGGATAGAATTGTTTTTACGCCACCATGCCAAGTTATGAACATGAGATTAATTTATTTAATTCTCCAGTCATTAAGATGCAAATAGGCCATTGGTTTTCTACAGATGCTATAGGCATTTTTCAGGTAAAATGATCCCAGACAACATAATTTCCAATGTGATCAACTATTGTAATTCCTGAAACATAGTGTACTCACATCCAACTCAGAGGCTCGGCCTTCAAGTACAAGCATGGCTTCATCTGGCTGCGGAGCTGTAAAAGTTGGCACTCCACGCTAAATTAGTGTAAAAGAAAACCACATCAGCAGTAGAAGATGCTATGTGAAAGAAATTATAACTGAAGTCTCGATACAAAAATGAGGAAATGAAACTTGAACAACACCTTGAATATCCCAGCTTTCTCCCAAGCAATTTGCACAAGAGTAGTACATGCTCAAAACGTGTTCATCAATATTTAAGGAGCATCGTAATTGGAACATATGTGACACCAAAATAAATGCATGCTCCACAGGGAAAGAGGTTTCCATCATTCCCAAGATTGAAGAAACAAAAAACATTCAGTTACCTAGATATCAAGAAAAGAATGTACTAAGAAAGAATTTCCATGTCATCATATCCAAGTGAAGTTATACCACAAACCACAAGTGATTCAATCTATTTAAAAAAAATTAAAAAAAAGGTGTAAGAAATTAGAGCATAGGTATTAGAATGACCATAAAGGAACTCTCCTCAGGGACATCACACAAGAATTAGGAATTGCTGAAGATGCTAGATTCCAGCAGACGGATTACATGCATACCACATTTGGGGCATCAAATCTTCCACCCAATCCAACCTCCAAGATAGCCACATCTACCTGCATAAGGGATTAATATTATTTTGATGCCTTAATTATCGTTTCATCATGCGTAACGAAATTGGATAGGGCTAAAATATTAATTCATACCAACTTGTTGTAGTGTAAAGTTATGATCCTCATATGTAAAATCAAACATTGCACTGATATCCAATTAGATTAACCTGCTCGAAAATCTTGAATGCAAGTAAGGCTAGGAAACGGAAATAGGTGGGCATTGGAAGCTCCTTACTGACATATTCCTATAGTACAGGTAACAAGCAGAGCTAAGAACAAGTGAGAAGCTTAGACCACATCAGAGGCATCTTTGTAAAAGTATGTGAATTTCCTCAAAGTAGATACTAACTGCATTATCATACTGGCACATAGTCTATACATAAGTAGAGAAAACAAATCGTAATAAAAAAAAAAAGCTTACATGCCTTCGATTTATCCAAACACCACTAAAAATAGGTCAAAAAACTTCTCTTCGTAGATGCCTGCCTTGAAATAGAGAGGGAGAAGGGATATAGGGAAGAAAATATCAAAATGATTTCACAGAATGACTTCCATTAGTACAGACCATGTTGTAACAGGTTGCTCGAGTTCACATTTGGTATCCCATTGGCAAAAGAGAAGGGAAAACTAAAAACAAAGGGCTATCAATCCTGCATTCAGGGGATCCTGTAAAAATCAACTCAAATGACATTCAGAACAGACACCAAATATATAGCCCTGATAAATGTTCAGTAAAATAAAACTCTCCAAGTGTTAAGTTCATTTGACAGACAAGGATTGGATACTTTTACGGATTTGAAGAGTTATGTTGCAATGTGATATGCATGCAAAAGATGAATACCTCACCCATCCAGTCTAAATCTTTCTTGAATATCATTGAGGTGCGGTGAAGTGAAAAGCCATGTATGGAAGCCATAATTGCGTAATATAGACTCCGTAAAAGTGCAAGTTGAGCCCTGGTTGAAGTCAAGAAAAAAAAAAAAAAAAAAGAAAAGGTTAGCAAATTCATCACTATTAGAAGTTGTCCTCCTTGTTAGTCATCAACTACTTTCTAATCAGAAAACATTTTTACTTGAGTACGGAAAGAATGCAAATTAAGATTGATTTGGCTGACCTTTCCTTTAGTGCCAGCCACATGTATAATCTTCATCTACCTAATTGGTTCTTCTAGTTCTAGAATCTAAAAGAACAAAACAAATCATCCATTAATCAAGCATAATATCAACAAATAATATAACATGATCAAATTTGTTACCAAACACCATGCATCATTTATAGTCACAAATTACTGAGCACAAATATTACCTTAATGTAATAAAAAGGAATGTCGAACCGGTCTCACTTGTTGCGCTTATCAGCTCGACTCCACTTGGTAATCAAAGAAGACAATGCCTCCATGGCCTCATCGAAGGGACTGGTAACCGATTTCCCCAATCCATTCTCACCACCTTCTTTTCCCCATAATTTGTCCAAACCTGAGTCCATGCATTTACAATAACAACATCTAAACAAAATCTCTCCACTTAACCAAAATGTAAACAAATATAAATCTCTTATACAAAAAATAAACCATAAACGTCAGTCACGAATAAGCACAAACAATTGTCGGAGTACCTTGTGACATTTTGTGATAGCAATCTTGTAGATGAAGCAAATTTCGTTAATGCAACCATCAAACAAGAAAGTACGAAGATAAGTTGTCTATCCCGTGAAACTCAAAAGAGTGCGAAAAATTCACAGTAAGACGATCGTTTATCTAAGGATTTCTATCTCTTAACTCAAACCAAGCAAAGAACACATAATCCATGAAAGACTCGAATTAAACAACAACCCACACTAAGAATAGTAAGGACACCATTCAATATACTCGATCAGTCATCATTCAAGAGACTCAAGAAAGGTAGGAGCAAACAATGCTCAACTATGAAGGAATACTATTGATTAATAATCTCCATAACCAACAAATATATGCAACACACACACTATCTCAAAATGCTTATGCCAAAGCACAACTCATCCAACAAAAGTAGGACAAACCCCACAAAGGAACTCATGAACACACACATCATGAATTCGAAAACCATAGCCAAAAGAAAGGCTCAACTCTCGAACTACTAGAAGTAGTATGAAAATAAAAAGTTTAGTTTTAAAACAATTCTATCAAAAAGCATACTTGAAAAAAAAATGGTTTTTGCAAGATCAAAAGATCCAAGACAAGATGAAAACCCTCTTGGTTAAATCATACTTGACACGAAAAATGGACACACCATTTAACAAAAATTCCTCACAGGAGAAACTCTCATTAGAGAAGACTCAAAATGACCACACATGGGTGCTTTAACTTTCGGCCATCCCCCCCTATTTATAGGCTAGCAATTTTGGCCAAAGCACCCAAAAGAAAACCAACTAGGACTCTTTAATCTTATCTCACGCAGGAGTAGAAGTAGAAGAGTATTTGATCTCTTTGACTCTATCTAAAATCTAGAAAACCTTATCTAAATGACTTATGCTCAAATAGGATAATACTTAGAAGGAATCTAAGACTACTAATCAAAACACTCTAGTTTAATTCAGTCCACATGACTTATTTAACTAGATAAATTCAAAAATAAACTCCTAGACTAGATAATACTCTAATTCTCGAAAATCAGCTCCAAATATTGAAGTAAAATGTCTTGAATGCCCTTCCAAAACTGGAATATTGGTCTTGTGCCCCTCAAGTTGTAGGTAACTCCAATTTACTCCAAAACTTGTAGAATTCTCTTTACTGACTCCAAATGATTGGAAAAACACTTGAAACAATTGAGATAGTTTGCAACCTATCCAATGTGTAGCAATGGACTCACTCTTGAACACTTGATCAAATAGGTCGTCCATTCAAAAACCTAAATGACTCTTCTCTCTAGCTTGATCAATGATCTTCATGGAGCACCTACAGTCAAACTCCTTTGATACTCTTGAGCACTTATTTCCATGAGTGAATCATCTCCTTTGGTTTGAACCCCAAAGTTAATGACATTCTCATCATCTTGATCATAGCTCTTTTGAACCAACTCCCTATCACATAGGTAGTCAAGATCCATCCTTTCTTCCTTGATTGGCCTGCAAAGTAAACTTGGCATCCCAAAACTAGAATGAAAGACTAGCTCATTCCCCTCACTAGGAGAACCTCCATGGAAGGCTATATGATTCTCATTGGTGCGTGCCGAGTTCACCAAAAATATTACTAGTTTGGATTGTGATTTTTGCAGATAATGGAAGCTAGGTCGATCCTACGAGGACAGCTAATTACCAAATTCGTTGTTAAAAGACTACCAGTTTAGACAAGGTGTCAATCAGGGGAATGGAAACAGTCACTCGGGGGAATAAAATCTAGGGGTGTTCATCTCCTCTTCCTAATGCAGTAGTTGTATAATCAGCACTATAATGGTTAAGTTCTTGTTCATTCAGCTCATTTATAACTCTAAGTCAGTTCCCATTTTTCCTAGATCATCTTTGCAACCTTAACAATCTATTTTCCAATGATTGATTCCAGTTATAAAGTCATTAAGATCTCAGGCTTACATGGATGCTCATGTCAACTAAGTATATTCCTATTTTATTTAAAACCATAGACTGTTACCTCTATGTCATAAGTTGAAGCTGAAACAATTCAAACCAAGTTTATCTTTCCAGATCTCCCTTAGTTCTAACATGCATTCAATTTAGTGATCAAGTAAATGAATGTAGAAAAAAACTTTCAACTTCAACACAAAGAACAGAACCAGTGCATTATAACAATTCCAACATAGGTTGAGGAGATCAACCCCTGGAAGCTACTTAGCTACTCATGCAGATTAATGCTACATCTACTACATCAAAAGACATCATAGAGGTATGCATCATAAAACGAAGTTCAAGCTAACAGTCAAGAGACGAGAAAAAAGCTTGTGCAGTTCTGAACCACTCCTGAGAGTGAAAGAGTTCACTCATGGAAGTGAGGCAGTGACTGGGATGGCTGTTCTTCAACTTGGCTTCCTTATTGAGTTGTTGCTGTTCCTTCTTCCTTCTTGCCTTCTTCTGGAGTTTTTCTGTGTGTTCTTGGCAACTGAAAGGTGTAGCCAGAGATGCCCCTTTCTGAGAGTGCAGCTCCCCTTTTATAGAGCCCTAAAGCCGGTTCTTCAACCAAGAGAGCCTCCCCATGCTTGTGAATTGTTTAATCCTTCCTAGGCCTTGTGTCTGGAATCCGAAATTGACTGGTCTTCTTCTCTTCTTCCAGCAATGGCAGCAGCAACCTCATTGATCAGCATGGGTGGTTGGAAATTCAGCCAAGGAGACAAGCATGCCTTTGGAATTCTAAGGAGAGACACACTCATTAATGTCAAGGTGCTTTGTGTCTTGGGAGTGTTTTTTTGACCAGCTCAGCAAAATTGTATCCAGCAGCCCACAAATTGTTCCTTTGGCCCCAATTTTCAGTAATTGTTTAATCAAGTCCTAACCTAATACTAAGAAATACCCCTAATTTCTTACTAAATTCAGAGTTAATTGTGATGCTTTTATTTAACAAATAAACCCTTATCAACTCCCCCAAACTGGAAGAATTGCTTGTCCTCAAGCAAAACAACTAAACTCTTGCTGGCACTTACAGAATTATACATAAGAAACAGGGAAAACAACATTGTCAAAATGACTGAAGACTGACTTACTTCCCTGAGTGAAGATTCTCACTCAGGCATGTGACACTGAACATAGAAACAACAACACCAACACAAATTGGATAGGGGCTGTCAACCTTTTGTCTCAGATTCAAGTAAAGAAAACATACACTTAAAGACATCAAATCTTTCTGCAATCCAGAGTCAAACAGCCAACCTTCACATGAAATTAGAATACATGCCACAAGTGTCAGTTATGCCCAACCTACCATTCCATTCTAAGTTAACCGGTTTCAACGTGTGGTGGTCATTCTTGTGATCTGGTTTTGCCCAAGTTACTTTGACTTGATTTACCTACTGAGGCTTCAATCATGGACTTCCTTCACAGCCTTTCAATCTGTCTGTTTCTTTTTTTTTTTTTTTGAATGTAGATGGACCAACCTTACACCTTTAGGAGGGGTGTTATTCAACCTTATCTCTCCACTGCCTTATACCTCAACCCTTATTACTCCAACAGTTTGGAACTTTTTATGGTGGTTCCTTGCTGTTACCCCTAAGGTTTCAGTTGATCCAATCTTTTTTTTTCGAAACAAACAGGCTGTGAATGGATACCACAAAGGAAGTCCCAGGTTTACAGCATTTCTCATCTACTTGTAGCTGAGAACTAGACACAGATCACAACAGTGGATTAGTCCTACCAAATTTTAGAATTTATGTTCTAGGAAGTCATTTCCACGAGTGGTATTGTTCATGTGTGTGAGTGAGTGTTGGTCATTCTTTCACTTCATGCATCAAACTCAGCATCAAAAGTGTTTTAGCAAAAAAATTTTTTTTCAAAACCATTATCCTCCTAGACTGTTGACAGCTCCTTTTTAGAAAATTTTATAGACTCCATCTAGACATGAACCTAAGGAGCCTGAATTTAAAAAACCTGACAACAATACTAATACTACTCTACTACTCCCCCAAACTTATTCTAAGCATTGCCCTTAATGCTTAACAACACAAACACGTCAAAACACATCAAACAGTAAACAAATAAAAACCACAAAAAATTAAAAGAGTTCACCATTTTAATAGAAAAAGTAAATTGCTTATTAGTGGCATTAGAACAACACTTCCCTGAGTGTTCACGGAGGCATGCCATGGAATGGATGGGCTGGTGGATCATGCGGCAATGGGCAATTTTCAGGGCATCCAATGCACTTGTGCATTTCCTGTAGGAATTGCTCAGTCCTCATCTGGCACTGGTGGACATAGTCCAGGATGAACCTGGTCTGCTTGTTGAAATCTTTCTGCCTCAACTGTCCAGCCGGAGTGGGAGTAGATGCTGCTTGTCCTAAGGAAGATGCACCTGGGGGCCTCTGGTCCAACTTATCCAGCCTCAAAGGTTGTTCCAGGCTGCTCTCTGCGTCTGTGTTCAAAAAGGTCACCCCTGCCCTTCTGCAAAGCATGGTAATCATCACTGGGAAGTACCAGCTCTTCACCTTGGGATCTGTGATACATCTGGTAAGTTGATCCCTGATTACTGACGCCACATCCAGTGGCGTGTTTGTGACAATTGCATACAGTATCATGGCTTGTTCGTCGGTGACCTTTGCAGTGTAGGTTGTTGGCATCAGGTTGTAGCATATGAAGTGGTGCCATAAATTCAGATCGGCGTTTGCAGAGCATTAGCGTAGAATTCCAAGGGGTTGTCCTGATCATCCTTCTCCCAATCTTGCGTCACTCTCTTGACTTTTTTTCTCCCTTGTGTATAGGTTATCTTACGTCTTTTCTCTTGCACAGACTCAGTTTCTTCATAAGCCAAAGGCTTAAGAATATATTTTATGTCCCCTTTAGTAAAGACAAAGATATTCTTCGAGCAATGGTGCACAGCATCTACATCTGATTTCCAAGGCCTACCTAGCAAAATATCACAAAGCGACATAGGAATTGCATCAAAGTAAATTTCATCCCTATACTCACCAACTTGAAAAGATACCATGGCCTTCTTAGTGACATCCACAACCATCTCTTCACTCAACCATTGAAGCTTGTATTGTCTAGTATGCGGATCCATCTTGATTTCGTTTGCTATGCAAAATTCCTCACTTTTACAATCAGTACTTGATTCACCATCGATTGCCAAATCAACTTCATTGGACCACCCAACCGAACACTTAATACGGAAGATACATGTCCGTTGATCACCATCTTCAGCGCCAAACACCAACCATTGATCCTCAATTGGACCATTCCTACCACAAGAAGTATCAGGCTCTCTCTCCACTTCTAAGGCAGCATAGTATGCCTCGTAGAGCCTTGATTGCCTCCTTATCTTTGGGTGTTGTTTATACCCCTTGTCCAAGCCATAGTGGAATCGATCAGTCAACATGTAGTCGTTCTCATCCACACCCAAACTCAGGAACACACCTTCTAACTCCTCAAAGTAAGTTTGAACGGATCTATCATTCTGCTTGAAATTGAGTAACTTCACTTTTGCTTTATCAAAGGTGTTAGTACCAGCATATCTTTCTTGCAAAGCATTCCTCAAATCATGCCAATCATCCAAATTACGATACAAATGATGCGAATAGATATTTGAAACTAGCTTCCACCAATTTAAAGCACTAGAACAAAAACAACCTACAGCTAAGACTATTTTCTCACTCTCTTTCTCTATGTTAAGCAACACCAACAAATTCTCTATGCTCTTTTCCCAAGTATCATAGTCTCTATGGCAATCATAAAACAAAGGCAATGACACTTGCAACATTCCAACATACGAGGGTACTTGTTTTACTTCAAAACGATCACATAAGACTCTCAAATTTTCAGCAATTTTCTCAAAACTCACCATAACTTTATCTTGCTGATTTGAAAGCATTTGAGACAAGTCTCGGTTCGCCTCCTTCACCTCGGCCAAAGCATCATGCAAGTAGTCAATTTGACTCTTCATGAGCTGCACTTGAGCCTCCATTCGACCCTCTACACTCTTTGAAGCAACTTGAGTACAACCAGCAACTCCGGATGACATCTTTGCTCAACAACTTTGAGAAACCACCAAAAGAAGTAATGTGCCTTTGATACTACACAAAAACTCCTTGAACCCTAGAATAAATGATGGTTCGGCCGAAACCCCCCCCCCAAGTACCAAAGGAATGTTCGAATATTGCTCTCCCCAAAAACAAAAACTCTCTTGTGCTTTTAAGAACACTATCTCTCAAAAATTCAGAATAAAGAGAAGAGTGCTTCTCTTATTTGTACCCTTGTGATCACGGCAGCAAGAAGAAGAAGAAGAATGGAATAGAGTGGTGTGAGAATTTTCGAAAAACAGCACCCCTATTTATAGGCAATGCAAGTATTTTTGTGCAAGAAAACTCCTACAAGATAAGACCTAAATTTTCTCAAAAATATTCCCCCCCTTAATGGATAAAATTTAGTCGATAGATGGAATAAAGAAGAAGAAATTAAATTCGGCCAAGACATATATATATATATATATATATATATATATATATAAAAGGATAGAGTCCTAAAACTTAGGTAATCATAATCCCTTTTGGACACAACTTATGGACTATGTCATAAATCAATGAAAGATTCATCCCTACTAATTAGAGACAAAAAAATCCGACCCCCTACTACAAATAGGACTCCAAAACTGAGCCAAAACACAAGCACAATTATATTAAAAGATTCAAAAATTTTCAGATTAAGATAAGACTTCCTTATCTCAATAGTTTTTGAAAATAGACTCACTTTAGAACTCTAATTACAGTCTCACTGAAATTATAATTTAACTCATGCAAAAATTAGTATTTAAATCCAAGTAGGACTCAAATAAAATACACAATAATATTGTATTACCATTAGGAGACAAAGGTTGAAAAATTTCGGCCAGTGTGAACACTAAAATCCAAGACCGAATAGGTCTCAAATCATAACACAATTGGACTCAATGACCTTAATTTTAGGGATAAAATTTTTGGCCAGGTGAACACACAAATACAAGACCGAGTAGGACTTTAAAGTGTAACACAAATAGACAACCAAAATTCAAGTTCAACTAGGACTAGGAAACCCTAATTTTTAGTTCAAAAATTCGGCTATACTATGAATCTAAAATTCAAAACCAACTAGGCTTAGATCTCCCATAAAACACACGCACACACATGCATTATTTCAGCAAAAATTTGACATTTTACTTTTACCACATAGTTAAAATTTGAAAAATTACTTTTGACTCACTTTAAAAAGGAAACTTTGAAATTACCACTTTCCAAAATGTCCAACAACTTTTAGAATACTTTCTAAAAACCACTTTCCAAATTGTATATGGAATTAACAAGAATCCACTTTTTACCAAAATAATCTATGGCAAATAAAGTAATAAGAACACCATAAGTATAATGAAGTTGGATTTTAAAGTTCCTCATTCAACTATGACGTTTGCTTCATAATACTCAATTTAACACAAACCATTCATAAAACTCAATAACTCAACAAAGCCATCTTCATAAGTGACCATTTGAAAATCAAATTTTCCAAAGACCAAATATGTAAACTTCAAGAACATATCTCAAAGCCTATAAGATCTCTTGTCATATATAAGAAAATCTTTAGTAAAACTTCACTCAATTCACGATTCAACTCTCGAAAATTAAGGTTTTAAACACAAGTCAAAGACTTCAAACCTTAAAGTTGGCACAATTCAACTTCAAAGACCTTTAAACATTTGATACCAAAATTGATATCACTAAAATTCATTCTTCATCAAATGATAAAGAAAGTTTTAAGACTCAAGTCAAGAATCATGGAAAGTCCAATGATAGGAAGATCCACAAATTCAACTCATTCTCAAAGTATAAACTCGAGAAAAACCAAAAACCGACATTTGTTACTTTTGAAAATCTTTTGACACTAAGACAAAAAAAAAATAATCAAAAAGAATCAGAACTCTATGAAATTCTCATTGATTGAAAATCCATAAATTCCATTTTACTCATTAGATTCAAATGAGAACCAACAAGAAGGAAGGCTTTTTTCATTTATACTTTATGTAGAAAGTACAAAATCACTAAGCTTCACCTTTCAAAGAATAGATCCAAGATATTTACCACAAGATAAACTCTCAAACCGTCCTTATGTAAAGACATTTGTTTAGACAGAAAAGGCTATCTCGAGCAAGAAGCTCTTCTTTGGCATCAATTCTCTCCTTAAAGATTCAACACATAAGATCCACCAACTTGCTCATAGGAGAAACAGTTCTCTACCTGCAAATCAAGGATAAATTTCAAGATCGCCCACTTTGACTAGATACCAATGTACCATCATCAAGCTCTCGCATAGACCCCAAAATAACACCACAAGATCAAACAAATGTGTAAGAAGTCTCGCACAATCACACAAAAGACAAGATCAATTTCGAAAACGTAGTTTTCACAAGAATTTGATTTATTTTTTCAAAACCCATTCTGCAACAAGAAGGAACCTTGAAAAAAATAAAGATAGTACTACTCGTTAGTAGCACAAAGCTCGATTACCACACCAAGAAACGGATTCCGTGGTAACACAAGATATTCTCAAAACCAAGAACTATGAAGTCCTCAATCAAAAAGAAATCTCTCAAAAATCAAACTGTTACTAAAAATTGATATGATAATATCAATTAATACCATCACTTAGATAGTTCAAGCTCTGATACCAGAAATTGATAGCAATCTCGTAGATGAAGCAAATTTTGTTAATGCAACCATCAAACAAGAAAGTACGAAGATAAGTTATCTATCCCGTGAAACTCAAAAGAGTGCGAAAAATTCACAGTAAGACGATCGTTTATCTAAGGATTTCTATCTCTTAACTCAAACCAAGCAAAGAACACATAATCCATGAAAGATTCGAATTAAACAACAACCCACACTAAGAATAGTAAGGACACCATTCAATATACTCGATCAGTCATCATTCAAGAGACTCAAGAAAGGTAGGAGCAAACAATGCTCAACTATGAAGGAATACTATTGATAAGTAATTTCCATAACCAACAAAGATATGCAAAACATACACTATCTCAAAATGCTTATGTCAAAGCACAACTCATCTAACAAAAGTAGGACAAACCCCACAAAGGAACTCATGAACACACACATCATGAATTCGAAAACCATAGCCAAAAGAAAGGCTCAACTCTCGAACTACTAGAAGTAGTATGAAAATAAGAAGTTTAGTTTTAAAACAATTCTATCAAGAAGCATACTTGAAAAAAAACGGTTTTTGCAAGATCAAAAGATCCAAGACAAGATGAAAACCCTCTTGGTTAAATCGTACTTGACACGAAAAATGGACACACCATTTAACAAAAATTCCTCACAGGAGAAACTCTCATTAGAGAAGACTCAAAATGAACACACATGGATGCTTTAACTTTCAGCCATCCCCCCCCCCCCTATTTATAGGCTAGCAATTTCGGCCAAAGCACCCAAAAGAAGACCTACTAGGACTCTCTAATCTTATCTCACGCAGGAGTAGAAGTAGAAGAGTATTTGATCTCTTTGACTCTATCTAAAATTTAGGAAACCTTATCTAAATAACTTATCCTCAAATAGGATAATACTTAGAAGGAATCTAAGACCCCTAATCAAAACACTCTAGTTTAATTCAGTCCACATGACTTATTTAACTAGATAAATTCGAAAATAAACTCCTAGACTAGATAACACTCTAATTCTCGAAAATCTAGTCCAAATATTGAAGTAAAATGTCTTGAACGCCCTTCCGAAAGTGGAATATTGGTCTTGCACCCCTCAAGTTGTAGATAACTCCAATTTACTCCAAAACTTGTAGAATTCTCTTTATTGACTCCAAAAGATTGGAAAAACACTTGAAACAGTTGAGATAGTTTGCAACCTATCCAATTGTGTAGCAATGGACTCACTCTTGAACACTTGATCAAATAGGTCGTCCATTCAAGAACCTAAATGACTCTTCTCTCTAGCCTGATCAATGATCTTCATGGAGCACCTAGAGTCAAACTCCTTTGATACTCTTGAGCGCTTATTTCCATGAGTGAATCATCTCCTTTGGTTTGAACCCCAAAGTTATTGACATTCTCATCATCTTGATCATAGTTCTCTTGAACCAACTCCCTATCACATCGGTAGTCAAGATCCATCCTTTCTTCCTTGATTGGCCTGCAAAGTAAACTTGGCATCCAAAACCTAGAATGAAGGACTAGCTCATTCCCCTCACTAGGAGAACCTCCATGGAAGGCTATATGATTCTCATCATTTTGGCTACGGGGACGATGGAAGGCGGTTGATTTTCTTAACAAAAAAGAGAAACATAGTATAGTTATTGAAGCCACCATTTGTAGTCCAAAACATATTTATTATTTCGATTCAGAGAGATAAGAGGACTTATGTGCGCAAGAGCGGCAGCGGCAGAATGTGGCGGCGGAGGAAGCGGGAGAAGTAGTAGTATTGTACCAACAACCCAGGGGTGGGGGGAAGCAAGAGGAGAGTTGGTGAGACGGTTGGTGAGTGGCGGGGAGTGAGATTGTGAAAGATTAGGATGGAAATCTTTGTGGGAGTTTGTATTTGTAACTGCCACCCACTGAGTCCAGATAGTCTGTCTCACCCTGTCAAGGAATTAAACGGTATCAATTTTGCTTATAAAAGGTATAGAAAATGGTTTTTCTTGGGTCTCTTCTTTCTTTTTTTTTTGGTAAAACGCAAAAATTTTCATTTCTAAGCTCAACCATTTACATGCCTACCAGCCAAAACTATTACAACATATTTACATAACGACTTCTAACTTCTCAATAAAATTAAGATCAGAAAGCTTTTTACTTTTACAGCAAAATTGGATCTTGGTTCTAATCTCCCTCTTGTTCACTTTAACTCTGTCTTCTGGTTCCTGTTTTAGCTTCCTGAATTTTCTGTAGTTTCTTTCAGTCCATAAATGGCACACAACAACATTAATCACCGCAAAAAGAATGCTCTGCTTGGTTCTGCTATATCGCCAAATCTTCAGCAG